GGGAGGGCGCGGTGCCCGAGCTGGGGGCTGAGGCCCACTCTTTCCGCAGGAGACCAAGAGAAGGGGGAAATGGGTCTGGGGGCAGTCCCCGGGAGACAGGCGGCCTTCCGAGAGGGGCTGGAGCAGGCCGTGTGGTACGCCAAGGCTCTGGGCTGTCCCAGGTACTTCACCCCATCCTCCTCCCCTTCTGTCGACCCATGACCCTGCCGCAGGTTCTGAGTCAGGGAGAACAGGACACCAGGTCTGATGCGTTCGGAAGTCCCAGTGCACCGGCCCTTCTCTGCCCTGGGGTCCTGGACCTTTGTAAATTGCCTTTCATATTTTACCTGCCATGTGTCAGTCTGTTTGCCACTTTTTCATGCACATGCTAAGCCAGGATCCCATGCCGGGAGCTCAGTCTGCCCAGAGAGATAGCAGAGAAAATACACCGAGTGATTCGTTGGAGTAGGGCTGTTCATGAAGAGTGGAAGCCAGGACAGTGCCTAACCCTTCCTGGGCTCTGAGAAAGGTGCTTACTGGTAATGATGCTTGAGCAGGGCCTTGAAGGAGTGGGCATTTGCTTGAAGGGCAGGAGGTAAAAAGAGTACTCCAGGCAAAGAAGCTGTGGCCAGAGGCAAGAACCAAGGGAAGGAGAGGCTGAAATTAGTGTCTGAGGCAGAAGGGTTGGGTTGACCCTGAGAAGGCGACTGGGGAATGGCTTGCTTAAACAGTCACAGGAGTCTCTGAAGGTGCTGAATGCCTGGGCGTTGTGGCTCCAAGTGGTATGCACTGGAGACCTGGGGAACTGGGTTAGGGCTGGCACAGTCATACTGTCCTGGAGGAGGTGCAGAGGGAGGGCGGGAAGGCCTCCAGCCCCATCTTCTCCACAGGATCCACCTGATGGCCGGCCGAGTACCGCAGGGGGTTGATCGAGCAGCAGTCAAGGGTGAGATGGAGATGGTTTTTCTGGAGAACCTGAGGCACGCAGCTGGGGTTTTGGCTCAGGTGAGACAGGTGGGAACACACAGACACACAACTTACACATCTATGTTTGTGGAGGGGGTGCACTGTAGGGAGGGCAAATGAGGGCAAATGACTGGCCAGGTCAGAGGGACAGGTGGGGTCTTGACCAGGGACTGGCAGGGGAAAGACTCGGGGAGGAGATCTGTGCACAGCATCTGGTATGCTGCTAGGAGAACCTCGTGGGACTGCTGGAGCCCATTAACACCCGCATCACGGACCCCCGGTACTTCTTGGATACGCCCCGGCAGGGTAGGAGCCCAGCCCCATGCCTCCTGTCCCTTTAGCTTCCCGTGCTGTCCTCGTCTCATGGCCCCTCCCTGGCTTCTCTCCCAGCGGCTGCCATCTTACAGAAGGTAGGGAGGCCCAACCTCCAATTACAAATGGTAAGTGGAAGAAAGAGGGTATTTCTCAGAGCACCCATGTTCTCCAAATCTGGACAGGCTGTAAGGGCCTGAGGGTCTCTGACTGGAGGCTTCTCTGCCACAGGACATATTCCACTGGCAGATCATGGATGGGAACATGACAGGAAACATCCGGGAGTTCCTGCCCATTGTTGGTGAGGGAGCTTCCTTTGCCCTCCCACCCTTTCAACATCTGTCTCTCTGGCCTCAGCAGGAGCCTGGGCCTTACATCTACCCATATCTGTCCCAGGACATGTGCAGGTGGCACAGGTCCCTGGCCGAGGGGAACCCAGCAGCCCTGGAGAGCTGAACTTCCCCTATCTATTTCAACTGCTGGAGGATGAAGGCTACAAAGGCTTTGTGGGTTGCGAGTATCGGCCTCAAGGTGAAGCATTTCCCTGGGGAAAGGAGCTGTGGAGGGACAGATACTGGACAGGGGCTGTTTTCTCCTTGTGGGCTGAGATGTCACTGCCTCTCTCCATAGGAGAAACAGTAGCGGGCTTGAGTTGGCTACGTTCATACCAGGACAGGTGGGGCCACCCATAGTGAAGGCCTGGACACTACCCATGTGCCTCTGAGACAGTGAGTGAACATCCTGAGTCTCCTCTGAATTAAAGACCATCTGCGGAAAGTTTTTATATGGTCTGTGTTATGGGGTGGGGCGACACATAGTGTCTAACACTTCCGTTTCTCTGGGTTGCTTCCCTCCTGTTGAGAAGGGACACACAGCTCATGTTCAGATCCTCCACTCAGTGCCAGGGCTGCTGTGGAGACAGGAGAGCTTTTCAGCACACCTCACTTAAGCACGAGAAACCAAGGGTCCGAGAGCAAAGGGACTTGACAGTGGTCATGGATGCTTCAAAGGAACTGGAACCAAGGTCTTATCTCAATGGCAATATCCAGCAGTGGTGTCCAAGTGGGAAATGAAGCCCAGAGGGCTCAAGGAGGGCAGGTGGCTGACAGCAGAGGCTGCGGGGGCAGGGTCCAGCAGGGAGACTCAGGGTGAGTGCTTGTCACCTGGTGTGCGGAACTCCCAAGACTCCCTTGGAAGGGCCCAGGGATCCAAGGGGAATGGGCACCTCAGGGGGCTGACCTGACCCTCTGGAGTCCTGGGTTGGTCAGCAGCTGTGAGTGTTTAGGGAGGGCAGTCCCTGCTGCCAGGCTGGGCAATACACCCCCAGGACACAGTCACAAAGCCTTTGATATCACTCAGCATCTGGTCTTGCAATAGGGCCCAGAAGGGCTGGTCCATTCCACTTTAGGTGGGTAATCTTGTAGATCCATGACTTGAGGAACAGTGACATTCAGTGGTCCACTCCCTCAGAGGAGGCGGGTCCAGAGGGTAAAACAGGCTGTGTTGATGACAGACTCCAGGTGGTGGTAGGTGGAGACCAGCTGGGCAGGGGGGCTTTCACTGTCTTGGGGCTGCACTGGGAAGGGCTCTCGGAAAACCACTGTCAAAGACTAGGGAACACAGCCAGGGTACAGTGATGAGAGGATGATATGGGTGGGATAGGAAGTGGAGTTCAGGAAGAGTGGGCACCCCAACCTCAGCAGGTTCTGCCCTCCATCCCCATTCTCACCGTCTTTCCCAAGTGAGAGTCCAGAAACACTAGCACAAAACAGTCAGTGAACTTCTGGTTCAGCACAACCTGCAGTGAGAAATGAAATGGGAAGGGGTGGGTTTGTCTCACCCGAGGAGGCGCGGACCCTTCCAGAGGGCATCCTGGAGGATGAGGAAGGCCTAGTTCTGTCATCACACCTGATCCTACCTGTACCCCAAGGTCACTCAGGATCATGTCGCCAAATCGCACCTGTGTCCTTATCCTTGCTGGCTTGCTAGTCAGCCTGTCCGAACTGCATCAGAACTCAATTCTGGAGGACATGCTCATGGCCTGGCACACTGAAGCCAATCAGTGAAGGAGAGTTCTCTACCCTTGGCACGACTCCTCCTTCCCCCATCCTGTCCTGGGTCTCTTCTCTCTCTGACTGCTGCTGGGACTGTCCCCTTAAGTCCATCTGCTCCCTAATGCTCAACTCTGTGATCTATCTCAGGCAGTTTCCTCCCCTCCCAAGGCTTCAGGTCCCACCCTGTTCATATAGCTGCTGCCCAGACCTCTCTCTGTGAGTTCAAATCCCTGATGCCACATACGGGGTAGACAGTGAAGGTCCTCATGGACCTCAGACTCAACTGGACTTGGCGCCCTTTCCCTAAACCTACTCTTGCTCCAGCCTTCATACCATCCCCAGGAGCGCCCCTGCCTGCCTACACCCAACATGACTAACTGACCTGGGCTTCTCTGGATAACCGTTGCTGCATCCTGAAGAGAACCATCTCCACAGCGCTGTGTTGTAGGGCCCCACACCAGGCTCCTACCTTCTCACTTGGAGTCTCTCGAATGCTTCCTCTCCTGAGCCTCAACTCTCACTGGGCCCATCTCTCTAGTCTCTTTAGTTCCCTGTGTGCGTGTCCACAACTGCTCTTTTCTACCTGTCCTTTACAACAGTGTTTTCCAATCACCTGGGGAGATGCTAAAATGCAGCTCCTGAGTCAGTATCTGGAGTGTGGCCTGAGTGCTTTTCAGCAAGCTCCCAGGTGATGCTGATGCTGCCGGTCTGAGGACCACACTTTGAGTAACTAGGCTTTAAAGCCCGTAAGGTCCTTTCTGGGACTCCCACCTCTGAGACCAGTCACTGATGAAGTTCTGAGAGCACCTTGGGCTGTCAGTTTCAGAGCTTGGCCCTCAAGACCCCAAGCCAAGGTTTGCGCTCTGGTGGGTCTTGGAGGTAGATATCTCAGTTACTTCTCAGCGAATCCCAGGCTGTGGCTTGCTGCCTGAAGGGTTCTATATGCATTTGTGTAGTCCCATTCCATCGAAGCCTCCCCCAGAGCAGAGCTGGTTTGGTTAGGCTGAAGGGACATCTGCCATCTCTGCTGAGGACTTCTGCTGTGTTTCCCCTTTCAGAGGAAATCCAAGGGTACTTACCAGGTACTGTGTTCCCAAGTCTGGGCTCTGGAAGTGGCGACAGCTCTGGGGGAAGCGGCTTAGTAGAACCTTGATTAGGCTCTGGTACCAGGAGACCGTCATGGACAGGAAGCAGTCCTGGGAGAGGGTCAGGGTCCATGGCCTAAGTCTGCAGTTCTAGTCACCTCTTAAACTCTTGTACCCTCCATCCTGAGTGCCTGTGGGATTCTGGCATCCATCCCTGCCCCTTCTGGAGCCCACAGTCCCTTACCAGCTGGGGGTCAATGTCCCCAATGGATTTGGCATGGACTGCCTCTAGGAGTTCCTCCAGCTCTGACAGGGCCAGGCGCCCCCCTAGCCGTAGTCGGTCAGGCCCTGGTGGCTCCAGCAAGAAGAGGCGCTTCCAGAGGGTGTCCCGACGACAGTGCCCTCCAGCCAGTCGTACCAGCTGAGCCAGCCGTGCCCGTGCCATGCCCACCTCTACAGCCAGTGGTGGGAACAGAGGAGCTGGTCCAGGGCCCAGAACAAGCCCTGAGGCCTCTCCAGGGCTACCAGCTGAACTCCCCAGAGCTTCAGGCTCAGGGGGCAGTCTGGGTGGCTTCCGGAACCGGCGCATGTCAGCAGTGAGTCTGGGGAATAGCTCTCGCTGGCTGGTGAGCACCACGAAGAACTGCAGCCTGAGGTAGGGAGTGGGACAGGAGAATGGTGGTCACAGCAAGAGACATACCGGGCAAGAGGAAGGGGCAGGCTGGGAAATGGGTATGCTCAAGGTGGGGGGGGGGGGGTCTGCTGACCGCAGAACATGCCGCTCAGCCTCTCCTTGCTCCTCAAAGGGTGCAGCACAGTGACAGACAAGCAGAGACACATCAAAGTCATCCTGGTGGCGAAGTCCCTCAGAGTCCAGGTAGGAGCCAGAGCTGTACAGTAAAGGTGGGGAAGATGTCAATTCTCAAAGAAACCCTACCTCTTCTGCCCAAGAAAACACAGGTCTCCCTACTACAAGAATGGCCCCAACCTCAGCTCCCCCAGAGTGAATGAATTGCTGGATGCCCTCTCCTAGCCTTACCTGTGCCACGCCGACACCAGGGCATACTCGTTATGCTCTGGACCCCCTGGCCGGGCCATTCGCAATGGCTTCATGTGGTAAGAGCTGGCATGATCAGCCACATAGTTGTATAGCTGGTGGGCAGCAATGAGTGGTGTGGGGAGCTCCAGTGTCCCTGAGGGGCAGGTTACAGGAGACAGTGAACACTAAGCCTGGGATAGACACACTGACCTGGTGGGGCTGGGGGATGGGAGTTGCTAAGGCTTCGATTGGCAAGCAGAGGGGCTCTGCTTTTCTGGGGAGCACCTGAGTTCCTGTGGACTACTGAGATGGGACTAGAGTGGCTCAGAACAGAGGGCAGGATACACATGACATGGGTCCAAACTTGGATATAAAACAGGCTGAAGAACTTAGGATTGAGACACAAGACACAAACATGGGGACATGGCATGTGTGACACGAGATTAACAATATGGGACCACTTGTCCTGGGAGGCAGTCCTACCAACTCTAGCCTGGAGACACCTTGTGGCCGGTTGTTTTTCAGGTTAACTAGCTTGCCCTTCTGCACTGACCTTGGTAAATGTGATTGCGGCCAAAATGGGGTCCGTCAGGGTGGTGGGCCAGGAAGTGTCGCAGGAAGGTGGTGAGATGGTAGCCATGCCGTAGCACTAGATGGGCACCCAGCACATGCTGGTGCACGAGGCGCAGGTGGAAGTCGTAGCTGAATGAGTGCACGTGCATCAGGTCCCGCACCTTGTCACACTCCTCTGTGAACAGCATGGACAGCTGTGGAGGTGGCAGCAGGGGAATGGGTTAGGGTGCAGTAGCGCCAGCTGCCCAATACGAAAGAGGAAGCACAACAGACTCCCCCTGTTGCTTTGGACCCAATGGAACCTCCTCTGCCAGAATGGTTTCTATGGGAAGCCCTCCTTATTCTATTCTGTACTGTAACTCTTTTCACATGAAACGACCATTTTGCGAGACTGGGCCTTTTCACTCTATATCCTAGATTCCATTAGAGTCAGGCACAATTCTGGACTGTCTTCTGACTCAGGGTACAGCTGAATACAGCTTTGGACTACCCATGGGGTCAGATTGGCGGTTGGTACAATCACGGCATGAGAATGAGCACTGACCTAGCCAGGCCACAGCATTCAATGCATGATTCTCACTGCCCACCAGAGGTGGCATGGAGCCATACTACCCACAGCACACTGGGGTGGACTGAGCCTCGTCCACCCTGTACTCCTTTGTCTCTACCACATACCTGAGAGTTAACAGCCTGCCCCATTGGGATTCGGGAACATTCCAGAGCAAACTGTTTGACACAGAAGTAACAGCCCTGGGGGAGAGGGAGTGAAGATGAGGTCAGAAGGGCAAGACACAGGCTGGTCTGACTATTCCCACTCAGTGATCCTCCTACTTACCTGGAATGCCAGTTCCATGAGGATGATGCCCCCGGGCAATGCCCGCTGCAAATGGTAGGTGGTGACCTGAGAGCCAGTACTCTGAAGAAAGGAAAAAGGGGGCAAGGGCTGGGGCTCACCAGCCTTAAATCAGCAGGTGAAAGTCCCTTGGGTCTCTGACTTTAATGGGTATCAGTCTGAGGTCAGTGACCACAGTATAGCACTCAGGGTCACTGACTCTAGGCCCTGGAGAAATAATTCAGCAACAATGACATTGGTGTCTAGGGCATCACTGTTATAAAATGAGTTACCTTGGGGCTTCCATCAGTCTTGGTTTTAGGGCAGGAGAAGGAGCCTCGACCCTCAGTTCCAAGGATAGCCATGGCCCGCAGCCGGCTATTGCTGTAGAACAGGAAGAGGGACAAGAGGATGAGGCAGACCAGTGGGGTGAAAGATTTTGGTCATCAGACCCAGAATGCATTTTACATGGAATCACTTGGCAGGGGAGGAAACAGGACCACAGAGGGGAGGGACTTGCTTGAAGTTCTAGTGAATGAGTGCCAAGGCTGGGCCTGGAGTTCAGTTCTAGACAGCAGGGCAGGGCTCTCTCCATAGCAGTCGCTGCTTCAGAGAAGATGAGAGCCATGCTCAGCAGGGAGGTGGAGACCAAGCCTCTCTCTACTAGTGAGAAGGTGCACATGGGGCAGGAGAGGGAAGAGGGAGTGATATATGTCTAAGATTTAATTAGGAAAATTCAAGGAGTTGCTTGATGCCTGGCTAGGTACTTTCTTCTCTTTTGACTGGGGGACGGCAGTTCAGTGCTTCACAGACCAACTGCTCTTCACTGCTTAGCTCAGAGGCTGGGGGAGAAGAGAAGCAGGGAAGAGTGGGAATAAGGACACAACAGAAGAGGTCAGTGGGACCCATTCATAACACCAAGGGGCTATAAACCACTAGCAGTCTTGCTGGGGAGCAAAGCCTTTGGCAGAAGAAATGTCCCATTTAATCCTCAAGAAAATCAGGACAAAAGCAGGAGTTGTGATCTTAATATCAGACAAAATACCCTTTAAGCTATCAAAAATTTGAAAAGACATGAAAGGTCACTACATAATGAAAAAAAAATCAGGACAAGACTTAAGTAGTAATGATTGATCGTTAAAGATTGGTGAGAAAGGAAGGCTTGACTTTATTTATTTTTTATTTGTAGAGACGAGGTCTCACTATGTTGCCCACTGGCCTGGAATTTCTGGGCTCAAGCAATCCTCCTGCCTTGGCCTCCCCAAGTGCTGGGATTACATGTGTGAGCCACAATGCCCAGGCAAGCCATGATTTTAAATTTTATGACAGAGCCGGGCTCGGTGGCTCAGCCTGTAATCCCGCGCCTTGGGAGGCTGAGGTGAGTGGACTGCCTGAGCCCGTGGGTGGAGACCTGCCTGGGCAACTTGGTGAGACATCATCTCTACAATATATCAAAAAATTAGCCGGGTGTGGTAGCGCACGCCTGTAGTTCCAGCTACTTGGAAGGCTGAGGCAGAAGGATTGCCGGAGTCCAGCA